AACTCTCAGCTTTGAGTTATAAAATAGAAGTGAATGAACATGCTGAAATCTTACTCCAAAGTCTACCGGATTCATATGATCAACTCATTATCAATCTAGTCAACAACAAGGAGGTACTTGTCTTTGATGATATTGCAACTGCGGTTCTTGAAGAAGAAAGTCGGCGCAAAAACAAAGAAGATAAAGTTTGAAATTCACAGCAAATTAAGGTGTTGACAGTGACAAGAGGAAAATCAAGGGAGCTAGGCTCCAGTGGGAGTCACAACCGAGGTAGATCAAAATCAAGGGGTAAGAAGAATGTCAAGTGTTTTCACTGTGGCAAAAAGGGGCACTTCAAGAGTGAATGTTGGCAGCTCAAGAAGGATGGGGCCAAGGGCAAAAATCCCAAGACATCAAATGCTCAGGAATGTGTTGTGAGTACATCATGATAAGTCGCCAGGTCCGGATGGATTCGGACCCAATTTTTACCAACATTTTTGGGACTTGTTAGGGGGGAAGTAACTCGTTTTTGCAGGCAGTTTATAGATACGGCGAAACTGCCCACAGGTGCCAATGAGACTTTTATTGTGTTAATTCCCAAGAAAGCTAATCCTGAGTCTATGAATGATCTTAGGCCTATTGCACTTTGCAATGTCCTATACAAAATCGCCGCTAAGGTTTGTGCTAACAGACTCAAACCGTTGTTGGATGGGTTAATCTCCAACGCTCAGAGTGCTTTTGTGCTAGGTCGGCTAATTACAGATAGCATTATGTTACCCTATGAAGCTCATCATTATCTCAAGTGTAAGACTCAAGGGAAGGAAGGGTTGGCAGCCCTAAAAGTTGATATGAGCAAGGCATACGACCGAGTAGAGTGGCATTTTCTGAAGGCGGTAGTGATTCGTATGGGGTTCAGTTAACACTGGGTCGATATTCTTATAGGAACAGTCAGCTCGGTTAAGTATCATATCCTGTATGAGAAACGGCAATTGGGGCCCATGATTTCGGGTAGGGGTCTCCGGCAAGGAGACCGCCTATCACCATATCTTTTTCTACTAATAACAGAAAGATTAAGTGGCTTTATTAAAAGGAAAATGTGTGAAGGTGTGTTGCATGGTATTCGTATCGCAAGAGGGGCTCCGCAGTTATCACACTTCCTCTTTGCTGATGACTGCTTTTTATTTTTACGAGCAAATCGTGATGAGGCTTTACAAATGAAGGGTATTCTTGATACTTATGCGACTACATCTGGTCAAAGAATTAATTTTGAAAAATCACTGGTATGTTTCAGTTCTAATGTTCAGCATAACAAAAGGGATGAGGTAACTGATATTTTAAATGTTAGCTAAGGTGACACTTCAGGAAGATATTTGGGACAACCATCTTTAGTTGGCTGAAACAAAAAAAAAACCAATACTAATTTTAATAGCAATAAAAATAAAGAATATTAGTTTAATAATGAAAATAAAGAATATTCGTTTAATGTTAGTATGAACTTCCTAAAAGTGTAGAAATATCACACATGGATATATTGATTTGTAATTAATTGTTATTACGTCAAATTAGTTAAAATTATAATTTTTTTAAATTGTTGTTATTAGGTTAATTTTGATTGTCTTGATGAGAGAATTCAAATTCAATACAGTTACAACAAACCGATTACAAGAGTGTATATCTGTGTACACCTCTAATCACTCCTAACTAATAGGATACTAACCACAGACTTATTCTAACACCATACATTTACTAACTATAGATTATACAATAATAATAATAATAATAATAATAATAATAATAATAATAATAATAATAATACTCACACACCCCCTCAAGCACAAGGTTGGTGAGAAACAACATTGAGATTGTCCCGAAGTGCGACGAATCTTGGACTCGGTAGCAGCTTGGTGAAGACATCAGCTAGCTGGTCCTTGGTTGAAACAAAATTAACCACAAATTCCCCCGTTGCAACCTTGTCACGAACGAAGTGATAGTCGATCTCAACATGCTTCGTTCTGGTGTGAAAAACCGGATTGGCACACAGATACGTTGCCCCTAAGTTATCACACCACAAATTGGACGGCTGACCAGTATGTAGCCCTAGCTCACGTAATAGAGAGACAACCCAAATAACCTTAGCAGCAACATCGGCCAAGGCTTTATATTATACTTCAGTCGAGGAGCGTGCCACAGTTCCTTGCTTCCGGGAGAGCCACGAGATGAGATTGGACCCGAGAAAAACAACATACCCACTGGTGCTCTTCCTGTCAACCGAACAACCAGCCCAGTCAGAGTCTGAGTAGGCATGAATGGAAGCAGTTGGAGAAGAACTCAGGTGTAACCCATAGTCGAGAGTGCCTTTGATATACCGCAGCACACGTTTGACCATGGCCCAGTGATCAGTAGACGGAGAATGCATGAACTAACATAGGCGATTGACAGCATACGACAAAGCAGGCCGAGTAATAGTGAGATACTGCAACGCCCCAACAATACATCGATACTGAGTCAGATTATCAAAAGGCTCATCGGACGGAGTAACCGATTGTGTGATCGATGCGGTAGTAGCAAGTGGTTTGCAGTCAGCCATCCCAGCCCTATTCAACAAGTCAGTCATATAACGACGCTGAGACAAAATCATACCATCACAAGCTTCAATAGTTTCAATGCCAAAGAAAAAGCTTGGTTTACCGAGATCCTGGATTTTGAAAGCAAAAGCAAGGCGACCAATTAAAGTGCTGACTAGGGTGGCGTTACTACACATCATGATAATGTCATCAATGTAGACAAGGAGGAATACCTGACACCCATCGGAGATGTAGTAAAAAAGAGAGACATCTACTTTTTACGCGAAAAAACCTGCAGACAGTAAGAAGTCGTGAAGCCGCTTGAACCACGCCCGCGGAGCTTGCTTATGACCATAGAGGGATCGTTGCAAGAGACAAACATGTCCAGGATGAGCGAATCTTCATACCCCGGTGGTTGCTTCATGTAGACTGTTTCCGCTAAGTACCCATTTAGGAAGGCATTATGGACATCTAGCTGCCGTAGAGTCCACTTGTTGGTGATGGCTAATGAAAAAAGTATGCGAACCATGGTTGGTTTGACCACCGGGCTAAAAGTGTCGAAGAAGTCTTCTCCAGCCACCTGGTTAAAGCCCTTAGCAACGAGGCGTGCTTTGTGTCGTTCCATTGAGCCATCTGCAGTGCATTTGGTGCGAAACACCCACTTGCACCCGATGATATTCATGGTAGGCTCATGTGGGACTAGACGCCAGGTGTTGTTATGAAGTAGAGCATTGAACTCATGGTCCATAGCAGAGGGCTCAATGGCTAAGTATGGGGTCTCCTGAGCTAAAGGCACAGGGTCCGAGTCATGTGTTAAAGGAGCGGGAGTATACTCTGTCGATGTAGTGTGGACCGGCACTATGGGTCCGGCCGCCCATGGTACGGGCTGAGGCTCAACGGCCTGCGACGATGTACCTATGGCAAAAGGAAAGATAGATTCGTCAAACCGCACATGGCGATAGATATAAGTTTTCCCACTGGTTAGGTCCTTGCACATGTATCCCCTAAAGGGTGGAGGGTAACCCAGGAAGACGCAGGGAGTGGAACGGAACTCTATCTTATGCCGATTGTACGGTCTTAGATAGGGGTAACATAAGCACCCGAAGACTCGTAAGAATTGATAGGGCGGTAACTTTTTATAGAGTCGGAACTATGGACTTTCAAAATTTTAGGCTGAGGACGGAAGATAATTGATTAGACATGTAGCAGTTTCGAACGCGTGGTCCCAATATTGTTTTGGGATAGACCCTTGAGCAAGAAGAGCCAAGCCCGTTTCAACAATATGTCTGTTACGGCGCTCAACTCTTCCGTTTGTTCGTGCGTGTAAGCACAAGATTGACGGTGATGGATACCAAGGGACTGAAACGTGGTATGTAATTTGCGGTACTCACCCCCTAGATCTGATTGTATAGACTTGATAGAGCGCGAGAATTGCCACTCTACCAACACGCGAAACACATCAAAAATTTTATAGATGTCTGATTTTACCCTTAACGGATAAAACCAGCAAAAACGGGAGTAGTCGTCAACAAACAAAAGAAAATAGCGAAACCCACTAGATGAGATTATTGGAAATATAGTAGATTATGAATCTCATTGGACGATTTTGAAGTTGATTCCGATGCGAGATTGTGTAATTTTTTTTGGAGGGATGGTCAAATGAGACGGGATTATGAATTGTTTGGAGATTTGTTAGTGCATGATACAACATATCGCACTAACAAATATGATATGATATGTGGGCCTTTTGTAGGGATGAATCATCATTGCATGAATGTAATGTTTGGTTGTGGGTTTTTGAAGAAGGAGATGATAGAATCCTTTGTGTGGTTGTTTAGAGCTTTTTTAAGATCTATGGATGGCAAGTGTCCACAATCTATCATGACGGATCAATGTGCAGCTATGGCTGCTGCTATTTCTAGAGTTTTTTCAACATCACGCCATCATCTTTGCATATGGCATATTGGTGAGAATTCGAAGAAGCATATCAAGACATGGAACAATAACAATTTCATGGATATTTTTAACTATTTGTTGAAATACACAGACACTGAAGTTGAGTTTGAATTTTATTGGACTAGGTATGTTACTATTTACTGGTTTTTATTTATGAATCTACAATTTAGAAGTTTTGAAGTTACAGTATAGCAGTTATGGATCTATAGTGTACCAGTTATGAACATACAATATAGTAGTTATGAATATACAGTATAGAAATTATGAATCTACAATATTGCAATTATGAATCTGCAGTATATGAATTATGAATTTTATAGTCTAACAATTATGGATCTGGAGTATAGCAATTATGAGTCTACAATATAGCAATTATGATTTTAAAGTATATAAGTTATGAATATATAGTGTTTTGGTTTGTGGGGCATCTGTTAGTAATTTGGTTATCTTATTGTTTTCTTTTACACGAATTTTTAGTGAATGTGTATTGTAAATTTCAAGATGGTGACTGAATATAAGTGTCACAAGAATTCGTGGCTAGGGAAGCTTTATGATTGTAGGGAGAAATGGTGTCCAGCTTTTAACAAGGATTATTTTTCTGGGGGAATTTTATCTTCACAAAGGAGTGAAACTACAAATCATTCAGTTTCTAGAAGGCTATCAAAGACTGCTGGTCTGTGTGCTTTCTATTCCTCTTTTGTTAGCGTTATTTCTGAGTGGAGAAGTAAAGAAAATGGTGAAGATTTTCATTGTGCTCAAGGGGTACCTGCTATGACGATCAACCATGTGAAATTTCTTTCACATGCTAGAGAGGTATATACTATTGAGATCTATTTTTGGTTTGAGGAACAATTTTTGAAAGGCAGTGCCTGTCATCAAGAAATTGTTTTGAATGATAGGTGTCAATACAAGTATCATGTGTAGCGACCAGATATAGACATTATAAGGCATGAAGTTAATTTTAAGCCAACGAATCTTGATGTTTCTTGCAGTTGCAAACTGTTTTCTGAAATGGGAATTATTTGCTGTCATTGTTTACGCATACTTAATGTAAATTGCGTTCCTAGTATTCCTGATAAGTACATTATGAAAAGATGGACTAAAAAGGTTGCGGCTGGTAGGAATGTGAACATTGATTCATTGTCTTATAATGTTGGTATTCCTCCTTCAATTTGGATTGTTGAGATTAGTAGGAAATTTCAAAGATTGGTTTTTTCTAGTCAAGACAATAGTGTAGCTAGACAGTTTTGTGATGAAGCAGTTGAGAATGCAAAGAAAATGATTGAAGCTGAGATTGGGCAAGTGAATATTGAAGAGTGTGGTGTTTCATCTTCAAGTGGTATTATTCAAGATCCTGCAAGCCGGAGATTGAAAGGAGTGCGTAATAAAAGGAGGAGTAGTGTTATTGAAAAGAAGTACACCCTATAGCAAGGGGAAGAAAGAGTGCCGCAAATAATGTTGCTTCAAATATAAACGGTGCCGTTCAATCATTGGTTTTGGAAAATATATCTGAGATTGCTGGTGATGGATATCTTGTGCACCCAACTTCTAGTAGTTCACAGTTTGTTCATTTTGATAATAGTTTAGATTAGAATGTAATTGTAGATTGAGATTGTGCTATTACAATTGCTTAGATTTGAACTATATATTCACAACTTTTGATATATACATTTACAAGTTTTGCAGTCTATATTCTTAATATTTGTTCCTTATTTTTTAAGAGGTTTAAACATCTATGTTGATAATTACAGGTGGAAATGATCATAACTTTTATCACTATATATTCATAATTATAAGTTTATAATGTTAGAGCTCTGTGTTCATAATTCCATAATTGTACATTCATAACCCCTTAACTGTACATCCATAATGTCATAACTGTACATTCATAATCCCAATACTGTACGTTCATAATCTCATAAATGTACATTCATAATCTCATAACTGTACATTCATAATCTTATAAATGTACGTTCATAATTTTCGAAACTCTATGTTCACAATTTTAAAGTTGTTTGTACATAATGTCACAAATAAAAATTCATTATTTCGACACTGTATATTCATAATATCATAGTTATGAATTAAATAATATATGTTCACAAATCAATAATAGAACCATATTCTATTGATATATACATTTACAAGTTTTGCAGTCTATATTTTCATATTTGTTCCTTATTTTTTAAGAGATTTAAACATCTATGTTGACAATTATATGTGGATATGATCATAACTTTTATCACTATATATTCATAATTATAAGTTCATAATGTCAGAGCTTTGTGTTCATAATTCCATAACTGTACATTCATAATCCCGTAACTGTACATGCATAATGTCACAACTGTACATTCATAATCACAATACTATACGTTCATAATTTTATAGATATGAATTACGTAATATATGTTCACAAATTAATAATAGAACCATATTTTTGAACCATAAATTCATAATAATAGAACCATAGTCACAAGTGCAAAAATATACATTCCCACTACGCAATTCATAATTTCAGAAATCAAAATTCACAATTTTTCAGTCAACAATGTTCAAAATGTTTGTAGAACTCGAAAGTATTCCAAATATTTTAAATCGATTCATGATTCGATTTGTGATTAAATTGAACAAATCAAATATTTCAAATTAGATTCGTGACTCGAATTCGTATATCTCGATTCAAATTCGAGTACATATTTCAATTCGATTCAAATTTGAATATGAATTAGAGTCTGTTCGATTCAACTAGTATTCAATATATGTATATATATATATATATATATATATATATATATATATATATATATATATATATATATATATATATGTATATAAATTTGTATTTTTTTGAAATTTTATCTTAATTTTTGGAGAACTTGGAAAAAAATCAAGTTACACATTTTGAATTCGAATATTCGAGTCGAATCAAATATATTCGAATAATGTAGTCCAATCGAATACGAATAAATTTCCATTCAATTTGTTTACACCACCAATTTTAGGTAAGTGAACTCGTTTTCCCCAACAAAGACCAATTTTTTTTATTAATTGTTCAACCATTCTTTTTGGTAATTATACTCTAGCTATAGCACTTGCATGCGTTACTTTTACAGCACGTTTGGTTCAAAGAATGAATTTTGAGGTAATAGGAATGCTATTCCATAAGGAATGTAATAGGCAAGGAATAAAATAGGAATTGTATTTTAATGTTTGTTTCGCGCAATCGCAGTCTACCGGTCTAAAGGGTGAAGACCTCCGCGGCTCTGCCTCCTTCCATCCAATTCCGTACCTCCAACTTCAGTGAAGAATGGACTTCCGGCCACAACAACGATTGAAAATCCCCGAAGGGAAATATCGTACATGTGTGTACCCCCAGGCGGAACGGCGGGCAGTGGCCTTGTGACACCCCGTAAATCTAAATGCTAACTGGGATTAATTAAGGAATTAATCCTAGCCTTCCTTGGTAACTACTTCCTAAAATTCTGAAATTTCATAGTCGAAGGACTAGAAATTGACTAGTCTTCTTGGTGTACCTTGTGCCATGTGTGTTGTACCTCAATCCCTTATTCATCCAAACCTTAGTAAGGGTAACTTGGTCTTTTCACTAGCGAGATGTGCTCATGTTTCCATAGCAAGACCTCTTATCTTCATTCCATGCTAGCCAAAGTTCTAAAAATTCTCCAACCTCTCTCTAAAAGAATCCTATCTTTCTCTCCAAGTCAAAAAGGGAACTTCCAAGCTTTGCATAGTCTTCCACCAAGATTCCAACTTTCCAACACTACAAGGCTAGGAATGGTAAGATCTATCCTTCCCTACCTTTTCCTTACAAGATTCCCCCATCTTTTCTCAAAATCTTTCTTCTACCTTGTGGGTTTTGGGGGTTTGTAGAAGATCTAGTGGCGGGTGAATTGCTAGGTTGATCTAGAGGAGCTTTGGTCTTGCTTTGAGGTTGAAGTAGGTGTTCTTGGTCTACAAGAGGTTACCCATTATACACAAAACCTATTTTCACTTGATAATAATGATTATTGGCTTCTACGTGACATTCCTGATGTGTTTGAGTGATTGATGCATGATCTTGGGATAATGCATTTTTAGAGCTTGTATTTAGGCTTCTTAAATGCTTTTATTTGAGCTATTCATAGGTTCAAGTCATATCTTTGTTGTATGGAAGTTTTGGGGTAATTTGTTCCATATTTTTTTAAGAGATTTAAACATCTATGTTGACAATTATAGGTGGATATGATCATAACTTTTATCACTATATATTCATAATTATAAGTTTATAATGTCAGAGCTCTGTGTTCCTAATTCCATAACTGTACATTCATAATCCCGTAACTGTACATGCATAATGTCACAACTGTACATTCATAATCACAATTCTGTACGTTCATAATTTTATAGATATGAATTACGTAATATATGTTCACAAATTAATAATAGATCCATATTTCTGAACCATAGATTCATAATAATAGAACCAGACTCACAAGTGCAAAAATATACATTCCCATTACGCAATTCATAATTTCATAAATCAAAATTCACAATTTTTCAGTCAACCATGTTCAAAATGTTTGTTGAACTCGAAAGTATTCCACATATTTTAAATCGATTCGTGATTCGATTCGTGATTAAATTGAACAAATCAAAAATTTTAAATTCGTTTCGTGATTCGAATTCGTATATTTCGATTCGAATTCGAATACATATTTCAATTAGATTTGAATTTGAATATGAATTAGAGTCTATTCGATTTAACTAGTATTCAATATATATATATATATATATATATATATATATATATATATATATATATTTGTTTGACATTTTATCTTAATTTATTGGAGAACTTGGAAAAAAATCAAGTTATTCATTTTGAATTCGAATATTCGAGTCGAATCAAATATATTCGAATAATGAAGTGAAATCGAATATGAATAAATTTTGAGATTCAATTATTTAACGAATACGAATAGTCTTCAATATAGTTGAATTCGAATCAAATAGCAAGATATTTTGCTCAATTCAATTCGTTTACATCACCAATTTTAGGTCAGTGAACTCGTTTTCTCCAACAAAGACCAAATTTTTTATTAATTGTTCAACCTTTCTTTTAGGTAATTATACTCTAGCTATAGCACTTGCATGCGTTACTTTTACAGCACGTTTGGTTCACAGAATGAAATTTGAGGTAATAGAAATGCTATTCCATAAGGAATGTAATAGGCAAGGAATAAAATAGGAATTGTATTTTAATGTTTGTTTCGCGCAATCACAGTCTACCAGTCTAAAGGGTGAAGACCTCCGCGGCTCTGCCTCCTTCCATCTATCTCCGTACCTCCAACTTCAGTGAAGAGTGGACTTCCGGCCACAACAACGACTGAAAATCCCCGAAGGGAAATATTGTACAGGTGTGTACCCCCGGGTGGAACGGCGGGCAGTGGCCTTGTGACACCCCGTAAATCTAAATGCGAACTGGGATTAATTAAGGAATTAATCCTAGCCTTCCATGGTAACTTATTCCTAAAAATCTGAAATTTCATAGTCGAAGGACTAGAAATTGACTAGTCTTCTTGGTGTACCTTGTGCCTTGTGTGTTGTACCTCAATCCCTTATTCATCTAAACCTTAGTAAGGGTAACTTGGTCTTTTCACTAGCGAGAAGTGCTCATGTTTCCCTAGCAAGACCTCTTATCTTCATTCCATGCTAGCCAAAGTTCTAATAATTCTCCAACCTCTCTCTAAAAGAATCCTATCTTTCTCTCCAAGTCAAAAAGGGAACTTCCAAGCTTTGCATAGTCTTCCACCAAGACTCCAACTTTCCAACACTACAAGGCTAGGAATTGTAAGATCTATCCTTCCCTACCTTTTCCTTACAAGATTCCCCCATCTTTTCTCAAAATCTTTCTTCTACCTTGTGGGTTTTGGGGGTTTGTAGAAGATCTAGTGGCGGGTGAATTGCTAGGTTGATCTAGAGGAGCTTTGGTCTTGCTTTGAGGTTGAAGTAGGTGTTCTTGGTCTACAAGAGGTTACCCATTATACACAAAACCTATTTTCACTTGATAATAATGATTATTGGCTTCTACGTGACATTCCTGATGTGTTTGAGTGATTGATGCATGATCTTGGGATAATGCATTTTTAGAGCTTGTATTTAGGCTTCTTAAATGCTTTTATTTGAGCTATTCATAGGTTCAAGTCATATCTTTGTTGTATGGAAGTTTTGGGGTAATTTGTTCCATATTTTTTTAAGAAATTTAAACATCTATGTTGACAATTATAGGTGGATATGATCATAAATTTTATCACTATATATTCATAATTATAAGTTCATAATGTCAGAGCTCTGTGTTCCTAATTCCATAACTGTACATTCATAATCCCGTAACTGTACATGCATAATGTCACAACTGTACATTCATA